TTTATAAAATTGTAAAAATTTGTTATAGCATGTTGACAAGTTGCAGGATTCTAAAGATGTTGGTTGCAAACTTGTCAAATTAGTATCTTTTACATGGTCGCTTGCTGTATATCCGGTTCTTACGGTTTCCAAAGAGCTTGTAGTCTGCTCTGTATATTGGGTCTGACCATCGTTATCCCAAGCCTTCAGGTATTGTTAAGTACTTATTATAAATATTTATTAATATTTATAATAATTACTTACTAAATATTTAGTTTAAATATTTACTAAATATAAGCTGCGTTGGAATTAGTTTAATAAGTAATTATAATAAGTATTTAATAAGTATTTAGTTAGTACTTGGCAAGTATTTAGTTATATTTTGTGATGATAGTATATCTGAAAAAAATTCGACAAATTTCGAGTGACAGCACGAAAACTTTTTTATAGAGCACTTGCTACTATATTTAGACTACTGAGATCTCTAAATAATACTGGTATTCATCTATATGTCAATGGTAATATTAAATGGTTCTACCCATATTTGGCACTTATAATTTCAGATTGGCCTGAAGCATCTTTGATGTGTGCTGCCTATAGATCATCAAATTCTTCATGTCCATGTTATTTCTGTTTAGTAGATCATAATTCAATGAATAATGTATATCTTGAAAAAAGAAAATATGATTATCCATAACGAAAATATAACTAAAGATGTGTTAAGGCAGGGTAATAGTAAGCAAATCTCAGTATATTATATGAGAAATACTCTGTAAAAGAGACCATTAGTAATTTTATAAATTAATTAATGTCATGGCTAAAGCTTGAAACAGCTGAAGCATGAAATTTTAAATACTTTAATATGAAATTTTCAAAAATTTTGGGGTGCATTTTTTTAGCTATTTTTTTTATAATTAGATTTGAGTAGGCTTTATATTTTAAATCAAGGTTTCTAATTTCAAGCTTTAACTGTTCACGCTTCAGCTGTGACTATTAATTTTGGTCAATGCGTAATTATCTAAAGTATTAAATAAATAATTGATTTTTTTTATAAATACTTCAATGTTTATACTATGTGTGTGCCAGATCACATGCATCATGCAGATCTAGGACTTTTTTAACGGCAATTACAATTTACTGTCGAACTTTTAAAATTGAAATATGATAACAACCCAATAAGGATTCTTGAGGAACGTCTTTCTCAAGTCCCTCGTTATCCAAATCTTAAAGTGTTTAAAAATAGATTTGAAGAACTTAACTGATTAACTGCATCTGAATATCGGGCTTTAATGAAGACGATAATATTCGCTCTAGATGAATTAATACCTAAAAAAAATCTTAACAAAAAACTGTGTGATCTTTACTCATTATAGATCGATATGTATATATAGAGTTGTAAACCTAAGTACACCAAATCGGATCTTAGTAAATTTGAGGCAAGTTTGCTAATAACAATTATTAATATAAAAAAAAAATAAATAAAATTAAATTAAAGTAAGAAAATAAAAAAAAAAACAAAAAAAAATAAAAATAATTTTATAAAATAATAATTTTTATTTATTTTATTTTATTTTTTTACCAGAGATCGATCGTTAAGTGGTGTGATTTATTTATAAAACTTATGGCGAAATTTTTACCATCAAACTTAAATTTACCCAAGTTACATAGTTGGCGCTTTCACTTAATACCATTAATTCGTCAGTTTGGAGCTATCAACGGTTTTACAAGTGAAATATATGAATTATTGCACAAAACTAATGTCAAGCAACCATTTCGCATTACAAATAAATGCAATATAAACACACAAATGCAATCAACTGTAAGTATTTTACGCCAATGTTGCATAATATGACGATATAATAAGGGATGCCTACAATTAAGTGAATACCAATATTGATTTCGATTTTATTTTAAATTTTGTAAGGTAACTCAGCAGAATGTCTTTACTTTACTCGTGTCAAAGTTTCAATCAAGGCCTAATAATAGCTCAGTTTATGGTATCACAGCAAACAAAGCTATCAGAAAGATGACACAGCATACGATCGATCAAGTCATAAGCCAGCTAGCAAATACGTCAAACTTAGACAAATTATGAGTGCACGGTTTTGAAAAACTGAAGTATTGCATTCACGATTATCTTCAAAATATCGAACATTGGTCATCACAAGAAATCGAAAATGAGGCAGTTTTGATTGAAGTATTTGAGTTTGCTTATCTAGACAATGATTATAAGGTGACTATTCACGCATCTTCTAATTATTATGGACAAGCGGTTTTCTCAAATGTTTGTGTTGAAATGGATAAATCTGAACAGGATAACTATTTAACAGATAATGGTTTATGTTATGCAAAGGTATGTATATTGCTTTTTTTGTCTAATTTTACAGATAACATGATAGTAATATTTTTATATTTTTAGATTCTTCTTATTGTTCGGATTACCTCGCCAAAACTAAATCAGAAGCTTGAGCTTGCTCTCGTTCACTGGTATGACTTTGCCTATCCATCTGATATACATCGTCATTATTTTTATAAGTGTGCAATTCTTAAACATGTTGAACACTATACCTTAATTTCTATTGCTTCAATTGCGAATACAATGCATATAATACCGAAGTTTAGTGCATTAGATATTTTCTTTGTAAACATATATATTACTGATTATTATTAAATAACTATGGTAATTAAATGGTATAATTATTAGTGCTTGATCATTCATATAGTAATATACTATTGAATTAAAATTTAGATTCATATCTGTAATCTCCATTATTGTAGCTAGTATGAAAGCATTTAAGAAGTATTGTTGTTCAAAATAAATAAATAAATTAAATCTTAAACATTCAATTTTATATATCAAGTAGTCTTTGTTCTATCTTATTTACTTAACATCGACTATTGCCTATTTAGTTATTACTCTACGTATATTGCGGGTTTGGTGCTTTCAATACCAACGAATATAGCCTTATATGCAGAAAAACAGAATTTTATCATATTATTCAATAGTATCAGATAATCATTTGGCATAATTATCATAATTATTTTATATGGAAACCTGTATCTTATAAGTGACAATTTGGAAACCTTCAAATTGAAATACGCTGTAATGATTACGGCCAACAAATCTTATGAAGAAAATGTTAAAACAGAGACCCACTAGCCGTTCATCAACAACAAACTTCTGTAGATCCTTAGAATGGCAGTATAATACAGATAGGAACTTGTCAGTATGTATTTTCCTTAATCGCGTTTTCTTTCTGATTTTGTATAATATTCTATTGTTTAGTCTCTGTTATTATGTTCGCTATATGCATCAATCTGATGGCCATTAATTAAACTTCCCTTCGAATATGATGCAAAACAAAATATAAAAAGGTATTGGATACGATTGACCGAGGTAAAATCGCCACCCAAAAAATCTTGAACATCACGTAACAAGTATATCGAGCAACAATTGAACTAAAAAATACAGACAAAAAAAAATTATAGACTAACAAAATAATAACGGTAAGCAATAAATTAATCATTTTATTTATTTCAAATAAATTTAATAAACGTAATATCTATTACAGCCAGAAAGTATTATTATTAGGTTTTTCTAAGTATTTGAAATATTCCATTATCTTTTTAAAATGATTATAATCCCGCAATAGCTCAAAGTTTTTATTAAGAATATCGAGCTATTTGTTACCATTTGGATTCATTATATTTTCTTTAATACTTTTTTTTGTTGCGTCTTGGATCCAGAATTATAAAAACTTTTGCTCATGGCTTTCCGGTGCAGTTGCTTTTATAATTTTATTTCGATTTGTAGAAATTTGGTTACGGCAATCACTGCATATTTTTAGAATATTGTATTTATTGGGTTTTATACTTTTAAAGGAATTACTTGGTTTGCCAAGATTACAATGATCGCTTTTCATTTGAAGAATTGAAAAAAATCACATACTAAATCAATTAATATTTTACTAAATATCATTATGATTTTACCCCGGTCGATACGATTTGGGTGAGTATACTTCTTTTTATTTTTGCACTTTGGTTTGTCTTAACAACTACTAATATCTTTTCACAATTACAACAACTAACCTACCACTATACCTACTTTTTTTTTATATAAGGGAGTTAGGTCTTTCTATTTACTTGTTAGCTAAGTTTTCTTTATTACATTTGTTTTGCTCTTTTAAGAAAGTTGGATCTTTTTATTTACTTGTTAGATAAGTTTTCTTATATCATTCATTTTGCTTTTATACAGTTTTTTCTGGATATTAATTATTCAATCTTTAGGTCTTTGGCTATTTTTTTTCCACTATTGATTGTTCCAAGTTATTATATTATCATCTTATACCATTATTACATAACATGCGTTTCTCATTTTTTTAATGCAAATCCCTTTAAATCACCATGATTCTGAAACCCAGGTGTTGTGGCCTTCTCTTGTTCTCAGTTTGGTGTTATGCATGGGGCATGCGATTGTCTGTTAGAACGATTTTGTATGTTTCGTCCATTTTTGATTTATTATGATTTATGATTATATGTATTGATGGGGTACAAGTGTACAATCATAGATCATACTACGTTCTTTGAATTACAGTTTATGTTATACATTATAACCCATTCTTCATTATATATATATTGCGATTTTATTAATTTTATTATAATGAGAGTAACTTGTAAATAATTTTATAATACCAATATATGTGAATAATTTCTTTCTTTTATAACATGTATACTTTGTATATTAAATATTTATTTTAAAAATATTAAATTAATTATTTAATTATAGTAGTATTATAATAGTTGATATATATTAAAATAAAGTAATTTTATTATATATATTAAATAGAAAATTTATTAGTTTACACGTAGTGTTTGTACACGAGTATAATTTATTGAATTACAAATTCGCCATCAAAACAATTTTTACAATCGAAAAATTAAACCCTCGTTTATGGTTAGGTAAGGGTTGGCTTGGGATTGGCGAGGTATAGCCTATACTAAAATTTCACAAGGAATTTTTTTTGTTAGAAACCAAAAGGTGGTTTTATAATCAAAATTTTGAGTTATCTATATTGCCCGTGTGCATACACCCCGTGTACAAATAGAAATTCTCTATTAAATAAATATTTATACAATATTAAAATTAATTATTTAAACAATATTAATTATTATAGTATTTAATAAATAATAAAAAAAGTAATTTTATTATATATATATAATAAATATTTGTAAAATATTATAATTAATTACTTATTTAATATTAATTATAATATTTAATAAGTACTAAAATAAAGTAATTTTATTATATATATTAATTAAGTATTTATAAAATATTTAAATTTATTATTATTATTTTTTTTTTTTTTTGGTGTTAAGGTGGCCTCTTGGCCGGCTCCTTTTATTCGGTTATAGTTAACTTTTACAAT